AGGTCAGACTAGATGATCATAATGGTCCCTTCTGACCTTAGAGTCTATGAGTCACTATATGCAATTTCATGGTGGGCAGAGTCCCTGGTAAACATGGTTACCACAGGAGTTGTGATGCAGGCAGTTGGAAGCTTGGGCAAAAGGTTTCCACGTGGATGCCCGATGTTTGTGGCTACTGGGGGATCCGAGGCATTAGAGAAATGCTCTAAGCTTCTTCTCTAGGGAAAAGGTACCCTTGCCAATGGAGAAATAACAAAGAAACTCAGTTTCTTGAGTGAAGTTGACCCAATGTTTGTGTGTGTTTACAAATAGTTCCTGATTTTTAATAATGTTTCCACAAAATTTATTTTAAATAGAGTTTGGGAGATGATACTCTCCTAGTCCAAGTGTAGTTTATTTCTGTAAGGGTTTCTTTAAGGATGAGAAATATTTTAAAAAATCCGGAAGTTATTTTATAATTAAAAACAATTTTAAAATAATGTTTATAATTGTTTTTATAATTAAAAATCAATCTTTTAAACAAAGTAATCTGAATCTATGGAAACGTTTACCTCTTAATAATATGAAAATGAGAAACAAATGTAGAAGTGAGTACGGTGTGGTATTGACACAGTAATGGGTTCATCCCCTAAGATTCACCTTTGGAGTCAAACACAGGCTGAAGTCAAACATGAAATGGATTTTAGAAGTTTCAACTGAGTCCCCATTCGTGCCCACCACAACTACTAGGCAAGTTGACATGTTGGGAAGTGTTTGCTAAGAGTCCATGGACGGTGCACTGGCAGAAGTTTATGGGGAACTTAATTCCCTGGCCTCATGTGAGGAAATGACTTGACAGATGGCTGCAAGAACTTTGAGCTTTATGGGCCAGCCAATTATGGTGTCCTGCAACAAGATGCCAGGTGACTGTGTGTCTGACTGAAAGACTGTAGTTTCCTAATAGGGGGTCATACTTGCATGCAGATGATGGCTACAGCAGAGGCCTAGGACTCAGATGTGGGTTTGCCATAGACTACTTGCATGACCTTAGGCCAATCACTTATGGCCAGATTCTACCTTCTGTACTTAAGGTGTATAGGAATAGCATTACTACTACTTTGTTGTTCATTAAAACATGCCTCTGAACCTTAATTGGTAGCACATCACTGGCAAGACTGCGCTGAGTTTGTATAAATTATGCCTGGCTCAGATCATATCCACCCCGTGAGTGGGAGGTATTTTATTATTACTGAAAAATAAATCTTGCACATTATTTAATGAATGACACAGATCTAACGTTTGTCACCTGAATTAAGGCTCCACTGTCTTCATTCAGTTTGTCATCATGCTTGAACTCCACTGTTATTGCTTTGTCACAGTCTACTGCTGCCATCTCTACATCTGTGGTGTTGTTCATGTAAATGGCACCAAAGAAGTCAGTGGCCCTGAAACCTGGAGGCAGATAACAAATCAAAGTACATAATTTTTTTATTTGTAAATTTTTTTTTTAAAGTGACCCATTTTTATTGATGTTCAATATGCTTTGCAGGATGAGAGTGGAACTAGAGTGACCTCAATATCTGGGAGGCCCCAGATACTCTGGTAGCCAGGCATTTCTGGTTTCACTGCCCAAAAGAGGCATGGTAACAGAAGACTCTCTCCCCATCTGGCAGCTGAGCCAGAGTAAAGGAAGGACTGTTGCAGAGTTGGTGCCCCTCGGAGCACCTGCTCTATTTGAAGCTGGTCCTGGAATACCTACAGTTGTAGGTAGAATAGTTGTCTGAAAAAACAAGTTTTCACTACAACAGAGGATTTTACAAAACCTGGGAACAAGTGGGTGCACAACAGTTGATAGAAGTGGTTTACATAAAAACTTAGCCCCTGAGGTGTGTGTAATATGAGCAGAATCTGCATTTGTATATGCAGATTAATTTCATGCACAAGCAGAACTCTGCATATTCAAATGTAAAGGCATGTACATTTTTTGTAGGTAGACCTCAACCTCTACTTTCTAGCAATGTGCCCCTGAAGGTGTAAAATAATATGAGGCATCAGAGAAACAACATGTACAAAATTTACAACATGCAATTATTTAAAATAATATGATTTGTTAGTGCTCAACAATTCTCTTCTCCAGGAAACTATGAATATGGTGACATAAAACTGAAACATGCACTCAAGTTAATTCTCATTCCAAAAGGGTACTGTTACCTGTACTTGTGCGAACCCTCATGATTGCATCAAATCCTGTTCTTTTTTCTATGTCCTTCCTGAGGTCACTCAGGAATTGGGGACCATCAGAATGTACCTAAAAACACAAATCAAAACCAAAGCTGACATCCACCACTGGATGGCAGCAAACAGCAAAAAATGCCACAGTCTTGAAAACAGTTTGCTTTTAAATGGATGTGTATATAAAACATCATCCTCTTTACTTGTAGTCTTTAAACATGAGACATCTGCAGTGTTCTGCATGTCCCTTTGAACAGAAACAAGGATGTGCAAGAATAATCCAGTTCAACAGTAAACATTCCTATAATCTTGGACATTTAGAATTCCTCTACTCCCAAAAGGGATACCCTGACTGACAGGGTACATTCCATTGACTACTACTGAGTTGCTGCACTGACATCCCCTGCCTGGAGGATGAATTTTAAGGCCTCAGCCAGGACTGTGTACATTTTGTGTGTTTCTTGCTTGGTCAGCAAGAAAATGCATGTGCAGATCAGTTTTGAGCAGAGAGATTCTCAAATATGGGTCCCCTCTACACTGGGATGAATTTCAACCTATAAACTGCTTTACTTGAAGGACATGAATCCTGAGCACGTTGGTCTTGTCATGGCTGGGAAACACCCACAACTTTTTGAGTAAATGATTAGATTCTCGTTTTTCTCCAAAGGATGTTCATTTCCCTTTGGACATAAGCATTTCTATTTGTGATGTTCAACAATAATTGCTGTACCGTCTCAGAAGTCAATGAATTCAAATGTCTTAAATGTATTTAAGTGAAACTGAAGATGTTTTTGAAAGTCTTTAAACTTGAGCTTGACTTGTCATTTCCAAGTTTTGCGAGACACACAAGCTCTCCACAGCTTCACTCATTTTTTATGCTAGACTAGACTAGACATTTCTTTATAATGGAAAGAAAACAGTAAATTCCTAGCAACTAATCTGACAGATAGGGAATTTGTTAGCACTTACCTGAAAATTGTTGTATTTGTAAAGAGTTCCTCCAGTGTACATTGTGACAAGACCCATGGAGGCTACATCCACATACTGGTTTGGGAAGAGGAACAGATTCACACAGCAGCCGTTAGCCACACAATCTTTGGCCAGAGACTCATAAATATTCACCTGCGGCTGGAAAAGTATCTGCAGAGAATTAAAAAAAAAAAGTCATGGTAGTTTCTCTTTGGACATCACCTAAGATACTGTTGATAATATGTCAAAATTCAACCATCTACTTGAAAAATTAAAAATGACACAGCTAATACAATTAAAGTAACTGCTTGAAAGCCACTGAAGTCAGTGGCAGCTGCATGCATGTAGCAGAGCAGAATTTGGTCCTTGATTTTTAGCTAAGTGTAGGCCCTGCTCACAAATGGAGTGAGAGAGGGATGATCCATACTAACCAGCATAGGGCATTTTTGCAACAGTATCTGGTGTCACAATCAAAACTTGTGTGGAGACCAGGGTTTGTTGGAAGGTGTGGAAGTGTGAGAGAGTTGGATGGGGTGGGAATGGAAAGGATACGCAGTTGGGTATAGGTGCATATATCACTGTGAAAGGGGAGCATGACTTTGATCTGGTCATAGACGGGTGCAAGAAGCAGGCAAGGTGTCCGAGTTCCAGCTTCATTCCTCCGCTTCTTGATGCCCTCTTTTTGGGGCCAAGAAGACTGAAACGATGCCCCTTCCTTGCCTGTCTCAAATGAAAAAATGAACTCGGGGCCTAATACTGAGCACATTCCTTTTGTGTTGCTGGAAGCCTGGCTCAATGGAGGGTGGAACCCTTTGAATCCCAGAGCCTACCAAATTGTGGAAGCTAGGACTTGTGGTGCCTCAGACCCCAGTGCGCACACAGCCATTTAGAAAGGAGGTGTCACGCAGGGGCGCAGGACAGGTACAGACAGCACCGAAGTTCAACTTTTAAGGTAGAGAACTAGGCCAGGGATCCTAAAACCTATGCCAATCACTATCTGGTCATCTTTGCTCTAGAAACAGCCTCAGAATGCTGTGATTCCACATAAGTTTTTGGAGAACAAAAGCACTGAGCTAACAGTAACCAAAATTCCTTGTTAAGTGAATGGCTTTTTTACTTGTGCAGGCTTCATTTATGGTGGATAGGGGTGATTTAGGGCAGTATCACTTTGTTGTTGATTTAGGATTGACATTAATGTGTGTTAACTAGATAAATAGTGCTCATGCACCAGGATGATGGGAACATAATACATTTTATCAAAGTAATTAATATGCATCTATTGAAATTTACTCCATTCTTTGAAAAAGACTAACAACAAAAATCATCGCAATTTTCTTCTCAATTCATTGTAAGCTCTAAATAGAAAATACCTTCTCTTTATCCGTATTGATCAGTTTTTTGTCATCTCTGTTTTTCAGCTTCCCTGGTGCTTCAGCAGTCGGCAATGAAGAATGGAAGATAAACAACTTTCCAGCACATTCTGCTGCCTGTCACAAAGAGACCGTAACAACCTTTTATTCTGCTGCTGGTATAAACAAATGAACCTCATTTTCAAACATTTGTGTAAACAGAAGTGTAAACTTTTCCTAAATCCTCGTAAGCTAAATTGTCCATTTCTTTCAAGACTGAACTCTTCATGGCACCGAAATCCCAAAAGAATATCACTGGGAATTTAATATCCATAAATAGCTTAATCTAACAGACATGTCTGGTCGTATGTGGGGTTACAGTAATTTCTACATAGGAATCTAGTCTTGATGGACAAAATTAACAATACATATCCCAGACTGCTGTCAATTTAATTTTTTTAATGCCCATGAGTTAAATAGAAAGTGCTACTGCAATAGAAATGTTAAATAACAATGCAATAAAGGATAAACAGACAGTGAATTCTGTATTTCTTATGCACGAGTGAGTCCCACTGCAGTCAGAGTTGTGTGTGAACAAGGACAGAAGAAGCTGGCCCCCTCTCAATTCTTTTTTCTCCACTTGAATAATATCAATTAAAGTTATGTATATGTATCTGGAGATTTTTTAAGAATAATGAACTTCAAATTTAAATCATGTTGCAGGGAATGAGAAGAAGTTTTTTTCTTCTTGGATCACTGGGGGTATATGAACATACAGGCTGAAGTCAAGGAATCTTTAAAGGGTGTGAAGACAATAGACTAACTTTGCTCATGGGATACCTTAATATATGAGCAAAACTTAACAGTTAGGCTAAAAGAAGGGTTGCTATGGTGTTCCAGACTTTTAAAGATTCTTTGTATTCATCCTGTAAATTTATATACCTTGCTAGCCAGAAAAAACCTTGTGCTGTCCAGGCATCACACAAAGCTATCACCCTGACGGAAGTCTCAGCAGAGAATCCAAAGACTGAATGGATGCTGAAATTGAAAAAAACAAAAACCTTTTTAGGTGGTCCTTCCAACTCAGGCCAGATGCACATAGGTTGTAGGGAAGTCAATATGGGCTGTCTGTGTACACAGAAGAAATTGTGCCAGATCCTTGGCTGGTGAAAGATAGCAAAGCTATGCCGATTTACACCAGCTGAGGATCTGGCCCTCTTTCACTAAGTCCATTAATTCAGCATCTAGCATAGGTGGTAAATTTTAAAAAAATGACCTCATACCATACTGAGGAATTTAGGAGTTTTATATATTCTTCAACTAACTCACCACCACCACCATAAATCTTCTGCCCAAATTTTACCTAAGCTTCCATTTCACCTGTTTATGAAGATAGTGTGATCATTTTAATAATTGCTAACAGCTGGCAGGACAGCAGCAGTTGGATTCTAATAGGAATGTTCTGCACTGAAGTGAACAGAATGTCAAAAGTGTGGGATGTTACAGATATAGGAACATAAAGAAAAACAGTCTACATGGCTAATAGGATGACTTGCAGAATAAATGTACACAAGAAGTTTCCAGATGGGTCCAGATTGATCTCTGTTATAAAGTGAATTCATTACTAGGTTTCTAATTCTTGTGCCTGTACCTAGTTTATATTTGTTTCTTTCTTTCACTTGTGACATCCCTCAGCCCGCACCTCTTCCCGCTGCCCCCATTGGCCTGAAGCGGCGAACTGCGGCCAGTGCTGAACCTGCGGACGTGGCAGGTAAACAAACTGGCCCAGCCCTCCAGGGGGCTTACCCTGGCGAGCCGCGTGCCAGAGGTTGCTGACCCCTGGTATAGTGGCTTGAATGTGCTGCTAGAATACCGCCTTTAGCAGGGGGAGGTCTTTAGACTGGCCAGCAGGGAATGAGAGAAGTTCAACACACGTGTGGTAGGGAAGGAGGCAGGGGCTGCTGCCTCGCTCAAGCCCCACTTTGGTTCTCTGCTAAGCCAGTGGCTGGGCAAAAGAGGCATGGCCAGCTGACTGGCTGCTATGTTCCCTGCAACCACCTATTTAAGCTAAGCCTGGCTTTTCTAAAGCCTCTTATTCAAAACTCTCCAGTTAGCTGCCCAGCCCTCCCTCCCTTTACTTATAGTTGTGCCGCTTATGATGCTGTGGGGATCTGACTGACCCCTTGTTTTTAGGGGCCAGGAAGGAATTTTTTCCATTGGGCCAAACTGGCTTGTAGTCCAGTGGGTTGTTTTTGTTCACCTTTCTGGCAGCCTCCTGGAGGTACATCTGGATTAGAAACAGTGGGATACAAGGTTCATATCACACTGTTATGACTATTGACTCATCACAACTTGCAGCCGTTGTCCAGTGTGGGTAAAGGCTAACAGGGCCAGCGCCCAGAGGTAAATGAGCCTTGAGAATGCACAGTTGGACCTAGTGCTCAGAGTGGAGGAGTCGTCTGAAGATTTTGTGGACAGAGGTCCCCCCACCCAGCCCTGTGGATTACTCCACCACCCTTATGTGGGAGGTGTGATGGGCGGAAGAGTTTCACAACTGAGCCGAGTTCCTGAGATAGACTGGGGAGGGTCTACCTGGTTTGTGGTAAAAGCCCAGTAATTCTTATTGGACTCAATTAAATGCCTAGTACATGAGAACCAGGGGTGGGCAATGTAGTGCCCGTCCCCAAGATATAATTAATAAAACTGTGCTGAAACCCGTCCCAGGTGTCTGTCAATCATTCACCTGCTTGTCCTGGTCAATAATGGAATCTAAGTTCTGGAAACTATCTGTGGTTTCTTTTGATTTCCCACTGCAATTTGTGGGAGAACTTGGCAAAGTCATTAGCAAAGTGAATTTTTGTAGCCTATCCTAATAAAGACTTTGTTCTCACACACGGAGGAACATTCTAACCTTTAGTGCTTCCATGCCAGCCTGGATAACAGGAGCAAAGACAGTCTCACTCTCATTAGTGTCTGCAAACATCTCTGGAATCTGGTCCAACAAGCTATGAAAGGGAAAAAGGATGAGTGTTTCAACTGGTTAGAATACTTGTGTTAATACCTAAAAATCTGTAACATATCAAGCCTTTTTACACAATAACTTGCTTTCCATTAAAATAAAATTCAAAGAAATTTTTAAAAGAATGAGGAGTACTTGTCTAGCTTGTCTATAAAACTACTTGTCTATAAAACTGTCTGGATTTTCCATTTTACAAAATGTACACTTTTAAATTTAATTATAAAATAATA